AAAAATCTTAAAACACCTAATTTACAATGAAAGAATTAGTCACATAACTTTAAGTTCTGCTGTTTAAAGGCAAAAGACATAGGACTTTTTTAGACGTTCATTTCACTTAACTCCATGGAATGTGAAACTATGTAGATCTTTAAAACACTTTGATAAATGAATGCACCAGGCTTGTGTGAGCATGTGAGAATTAATTACCAGCTATCTAACTGCAAATCCAGAAATTGTTGTAAAGATTAGGGTACTTTTTTTTTTAATGGCATCAAATTCAGTGGAAAATCTTCATGACAAAAAAAAAGTAATAATGTACTTGTCTTTCCTTTGTTTGCAGGATAGTGATTTTTGCATCAGGATAAAAGTTAAATAAGGCAAAGTATAAAACTTAGTTATTCCTTAATGCATTCTTAACATTTTTAATCCAGATATTCCTGAGAGTGCTTAAAAACTGCTTAACTTTTAAAGCGCTTACAGATCAGATTAACGCATAATGGTGTTTCTTTTTCAACAGAGATGGAAGGGAAATTATAGATAGTAAAATAGTGACGTGAGTTGTTAGGAAAGATTGTAAATAGTTATTTGGAAAACGGGCTGGAGAGAATTTTGGATGTTCCATGTTCGCCCAGCCAGTTTATCGAAAGTGACTATTGTGAAGTCATGCCGAGGCCGGTGGGTCCTGCGTGGTTTCGCCGCCTTTGACGGCTCCTTGGCGTGGACAGCTCCGGCCGCTTCCGCCCCCCGGACGCCCTCCTTCCCTCCCCTCTCAGTGCCGTGCCCTTCCTCTCAGCGGTTTCCCTCCTGTTTCTGGGTGTTTCTGTCACAAGGCCTTTTCTCTCCACCCACAGCAGAGATACTGCTGTTTCCGGGTACTCCTCAGACATGTTCTGATCCAAAGTCTCTGTTGCTCCCTCATCGAAACCGTCACACTGGGCCTCCTATGCACTCAGGTGCCTGTGTGGGCCAGGGATGGAATTAAATGAAGATCTGGGCATTAAAAACAAACAAAACAAACAACCCCCCCCAAAAAAAACCCCACCAACATGGAAAGGAGACCAGGATTTTTAAAAACCAGGAAGAGGACGTCCCATCGAAAGGCCTTTCCCCTTGGCCCAGCCGCAGTTTCCGTGAAGAAGTGAGGACCGGCCACCCTGATCTGGTGCAGCAAACGCTCCACGTGCCGGGGTGAGGCAGAGAATTAAACAAAGACACTGCCTCCCCTGGGGCTGACGCCCAGCCCAGAGCCCCGAGCCCTCAGGGAGGCCCACTAGGCCTAATAACATTTAGCATTGCTGAGGATTCAAATTTGCTTTTAAAAAAAAGACTGAAATCCAAGGGATGAGGGTACAGCTCAACGGTAGAGAGCACGCTTAGCATGCCTGAGGTCCC